TGTCTGTGATAAACAATGACATTACAGAGAACAACCATCTGATGTCTCTATTTAATAGGCTGCCTGCATTATCTCTTGAAAACAACTGTGAAATTGTCCCTCTTGTTCTACAAATAAGGACCCCTTCCTAAGCAGAATCCTGGGGAAGAAAATGTCCCTTGTCTGCTTACACAGACATTGAGTTTTTAGGTAGCAAGTGAGGAATGAGCAAATTCGTACCCAGTGACAATTTCTCTGTGAAATAAGAGTTTATTCTGGAACCCATTGGCCTAGAATGAGTAGAAGGAAGCATTAGGGGTGTGACAAGAGGTTGAAATATTGCTGAAGCCTTCCTTTTTAGCTTTACGTGAAGTGATGTCTTTCCTTATGACAGACAATGAAAACAACAAAATGTCTTATTGTATGCACACCTGGGAAATAAGAGTAGTCCTGTTAGGGGATATTTCACCTCTGAGGTACCACTTATTTAGGATTGCCAATTGATGCCCTTTTGTATTGACTATGGGAAGATAACTTTGGAAAATAATATGAGTGAACTTTTCTCCATTCAAATTTGAATAAAAAGATTATTTGCATAGGCATAATTCCAGGTGGTCATTAGCTAACAGCTAAATTCTGGAGGCATAAATGTACATCACAAGTACTTTGTACAAGTTTGTTGTCTCCAAAGTGTATCTCCCTTCCTGATGCCATTTCTATTTATAACATTTTAAAATGAGCACCCAATGGTTAGAGTGCTTTGATTGAGATCAATCATTTCAAGATAATTTCACTGCATTCTCAGAATTCTGGGGTTGATTGCCTCCAAATACCTACTGGATAATAATTGCTTTAATTGTCTCAATATAGAAAAAAAAGATGTAATTTGGAAAAATTTACCTTATATAAACAAAATGGATAAGTACTAAAAAAATCTGGCTTCTTGTATTGTTAAAAGCAATAAATATTTTATGGTTAAATATGATAAATAAAGCAATATAAGTACTGTATATGTACTGCATAATTTGCATTCTGATCACTCATGTTTAGCTCATCTTTTGCATTTAAAATATTTTTCTTATAGTGCAGAAATTCTAAGGGCTAAAAGAAAAAGACAGTACTGGATCCTTAGGGTGCTGGAATTTCTAATCACACATATAAAAATATACATTCTGTATTGAATGCTCTGCTGAGTTAACCTTTCAGGAAAAATAACTCAGTCTAATTACTTCTAACTCTACTCTCACAATGGTATTTCTGTCTTTTAAATTTGATTAGTGGATGCTGATCTTTCTAGTGACTAATACTGATAATTAAGTCAGTGCCAAGAACTATGAGAAAAATTGATACTTTCAATAAAATTGAGCTTCTCCTCAGAAAATAAATCCCAAGGCTTCAAAATTTATGTACCCACCAAGTGTACAAAGATGTTTTTCCTTTGATTCGAAACGCAAATAGGAAACTAAACCTTTGTTCTTGTATATTTTTAGCTATACATTCAGGCACAGACAATTCTGATACATGAAAAAATTATATGAAATTGCTTTTTAAGAAGTATGCATGGATAATGCTACAATAATAAATCCAGTGCAGTAATACCAAAAGAATAGCCAAATAGATCAATGGAAACGAATAGGGAACCGAGAAAGAGACCTATATATAGTCATCTGTATTTGATCTTCAATAAAAGAACAAAGGCAGTACCGTGTAAAAATTATAATCCTTTGCAAAATTGATGCTAGAATAACCTGATATCTACATACAAATAATTACTGGACACAAACCTTATAATGTTCATAAAAACTGCCTCAAAATGAATCAAATACCCAAATGTAAAATTCAAAACTATACAACTATAAGATAAATAGAAGAAACCTAGACTATGGGATAGGTGGTGACTTTTTACCTACAACACCAAAAGCAGTAAGAATTGATCAATAAGCTGCATTTCATTAACTTCAGTTTCTGTTCTGCAGAAGGCACCTTCAGGAAAATAAATAGATTATTTACAACAAACCGGGAGAAAGTACTTGCAAAAGATGTCTAACAAAGGACTATTACCTAAAACTTACAAAGTATTCTTAAAGCTCTAAAATAAGAAAATATGATTTTAAATTGGTCCAATGACCTTAATACACACCTAATGCGAAAGATACACAGATAGGAAATAAACATTTGAAAAGACACACCACTTTATATGTCATTAGAGAAATATGATTTGCGATAACAAGGCAACACTATATACCTATTAGAATGGAATATATTTTTGCCTTTTAAAAGAAACAAATCCTGCCATCTGTAAAACCAAGGATGAAGCCAAGGACATACACTGAGTGTAATAAACTAGCCACAGAAGGAAAAATAATTCCTGACTTCACTTATCTATAGATTCTAGATGGCAAAATTCATGAAAATAAAATGTTGGTTACCAGGAGATGTAGGGATTGGTGAAATGGAAAAATGATGGTCAAAAGGATACAAAGTTTCAGTTATGTAGGGTGAATAGGTTCTAAGACCTAAAGTATAGCATGGTTACTATAGTTAATGATAGTGAATTGTATACTTGAAATTTGCTGGGGGAGTGTGTCTTAAGTGTTCTCATACAAATATGGTGCCTGTGTGAGGTGATATATTAATTAGCTTAACTGTAGATATATATATATATATATATATATATATATCAAAAGAACATGTTGTACAAATTAAATATATTGACCAAAATCCCATGCTGGTGGAGATGTGGAGTAATATTAATCCTCATTCATTGCACAGGAATACAAAATGTTATAGGCACTTTAATAGATGTTTTAACAGTCTTTAACTAAACTCAGTATATCTTTACTATACAATCCAGCAATCGTCCCCCTAAAGGAGTTAAAAACTTATGTCCAAACAAAAGCTTACATGCGAATCTTGATAACAACTTTGTTTATTGTAAACAACCAAGATGTCTTTCAGTAAATAAAGGAATAAATAAATTGGTACATACAGATGATGGAATATTACGCATTCACCACTAAAAGAAATGAACTGTCAATCCTTGAAAACACACGATGGAAGATATTTAAATGTATGTTACTTAGTGAAAGAAGCAAATCTGAAACATCTGTATAGTATATGATTCAACTATATGACCTTTCTAGGAAAGATAAATCTGTGGAGATTTAAATTCGTGGAGTAAAAACTTAAACTAATTTTAGGGGATTACAAGGGACAGGAATACGGAGTACAGAGAATTTTTAAGGAAGTGAAAATTATGGACTTGCAGAAACCTATAGAATATACATCAAGAGTGAACTCTAATATAAACTGTAAATATTAGATGATAATGATATGTTAGTGTAAATTGTTATTATAGTAAATATACCATTCTGCTGAGTAATGTTGACTGTGAGGGAGGCTATACATGTATAGGAGCAGAAAATATATGGAAAATATATGTTCAGTTTCTTCTGCTCAGTTTTACTATGAAAATTAATCTGTGCTAGAAATAAAGTCTATTAAAATAATTAAATATTTCAAGACAGTTTAAAAATGAGGGAGGCATGAAGGAAGATTTTATCATCCCAATTTTCTGGGTGAGAAAACAGAGTCCAGAAAGATTGACATTTTCCCAAAGTAAACAGATTTGGCAAAAGTCAAGCTACAGCAAAATTCTTAGTTCCTAACTCAAAACCCTGTCTCCCATCTCTCTTTGTGCCATTATGTAGGAGCCTGTAATAAGTGATTTTATTTGCTTTGACCATAGTCTGCGCTCATAGGTTGGCAGTACAGTGGTACCTCAGTTCATGAACATGTTTATTTGCAAACAGTTTGGTTAAAAAACAGAAGTGTTTGGTAAAATTTTGATTTTGTTTGCAAACTCTGCATCAGGTGACAAACACAACTGCACATGACTGCACCTTTCCCACATGAACACAAATGTGGCCATCTTTTTCAAAAACCATAGAGCAAATTAAGCTCATGAACTAAGGCACCACTATATATTTCTTAGCTAACAGAACTCAAGGCCAAAAGTGTTGTGCTCTGTAATATAATACCATGATTAATGTAATTGGGCCACATTTTGTCTTGCTAAATTTATACATACATATGCTCCTTATATACTATTTACACATACTGGATCAAGTCATTATCCACAAATCATTTTAAAAAACAAATAGCTAGAGTTAAAGCTTCTCAAAATGCTCATGCTATCTAGCCAAAACAGATTGTCAGTAAAAGATTTTCATTTCTTTAGCTTGCTGCAAATTTAAAACCACAATGACGATGAACATTCGGTAGTCAGTATATAAGTGTAAAAGGGTATACATTAAATAAGAACACACTGACATACTGATCAATTTAGTGTTGAGTGCCTCCTGTTTATGTGCCTGCTACCAGTCTTTGTTGAGAGGCATCAAAAGGAAATATCAAGTATGGCTCTTCTTGACTCACCAGAAGCTTAGAGACCAACTGCATAGGACACTGTATTTTCACCCAGACCAAGATGAGGTCAAGAAGTCATTTTAGTTTGAGTTACCTCTGAAACAAACCCTGAGAGAAGGATTTGAGTCTGTGTATTTTGAAGGGAAGGTGTAAGGACCATGGAAGGAGTAAAAGGAGGACAAACAATAAAGGAAGCATTGTTTGATAAATATCATAGTAAGTGGCTAGAATTTAATTCTATGAGGAGTCACTGGCAAATGGTATAAAAACACATGCCTCTGAGTGATTTTACCCAAGGAATAGGAAGCCTAAGGTTCTTATATTCCAGCTCTTATCAAGGATGGACTTGGGGTATTAAGGATTCCCCTGGGGCATTAATACCTTGGCACTTCATCCTGCCAGAAATGTAGGCACAGAAGGCTTCTGAAAAAGTCCTTAGGCATATTATACAGGTATTGACAGCTGTAAGTCAGCCTATGGATAAAAAGCAGAAGAGTCCAAGGACTATAGACAGGAGACTGACAAAATGCCTGCCACAGTAGGGTTTCTGGTAGAGGTGAGATTTGACAGTGCTCTTTCTCTTCTCTCTTCAGGCTTCTTAATGACCTTGTCCCTGTTGTCCATTGTTTATGGAGCCTTGCGCTGCAACATCTTAGCCATCAAAATCAAGTACGATGAGTACGAAGTCAAAGTGAAGCCACTGGCCTATGTCTGCATCTTCCTCTGGAGGAGCTTTGAGATTGCCACTCGAGTCATCGTCCTGGTTCTCTTTACGTCCATCATGAAGACGTGGGTGTTGGTTGTCATACTTGTTAACTTCTTCAGCTTCTTCTTGTATCCCTGGATCCTCTTCTGGTGCAGTGGCTCCCCATTTCCTGAGAACATAGAGAAGGCACTCAGTCGGGTGGGCACCGCCATTGTGCTGTGCTTCCTCACTTTATTGTATGCTGGTATCAACATGTTCTGCTGGTCAGCTGTACAGCTGAAAATCAACAATCCTGACCTCATCAGCAAGTCTCAGAACTGGTACCAGCTGTTGGTGTACTATATGGCAAGGTTCATTGAGAATGCCATCCTCCTGCTCGTATGGTATCTTTTTAAGACTGATATCTATATGTATGTGTGTGCACCTCTGTTGATTCTGCAGCTGCTTGTTGGGTACTGCACAGCTATTCTCTTCATGCTTGTGTTCTACCAGTTCTTTCACCCTTGTAAAAAGCTTTTCTCATCCAGTGTTTCCGAAAGCTTTCAGGCATGGCTCAAGTGTGTCTGCTGCCCTTGCAGGTGGCAGAAATCTTGTGAGTTGGTAGGAAAGGCAGACCTAAAATCTTTCAGAGATCAAGATGAGACACCTTCTACAAGTAAAATAAATCCTGATCCCACTCAGATGAGTGCTAATGCTCTATGCTCAGTTTAATGGGACTTGAGGTCTCTCAGGGCACAAGCATGATATTTTCTCAGTTGATATGTGTTCCTCACACAAGTAATGAACCCTGCACCGGGAGCAAGGCAGAAATTTAGCTGTCAACTCCTTGTGAGCTGCTGCTCTTTATAGAGCTCTTGGGTATGTGGGAACTATGGGGAGAAGCCAGGGAGACAGACCCAGTGTTGAAGAAGCAGCCTAAGGCACCACAGTTCACAGGTGACCATGTTATGTTCTTACAGGTCTTACTGCCTGGTTCACTGACAAAAGTCCCCTGAAGTATGAATTGGGATGGTTACATCTATCAGATCGAATGAGGAGAAGGCCTTGTTTTCTAGTTTTCTGGATTGTTAGTCTGGGTAACCTGATGATTTGTTACACCTCAACCAGGTTTTCACCCAAGAGCCATCCTGATGACCAGAGAAGATAACTGTGATTTTGCCATTAGCAACATCATTCCTCTCATACCACACAGAGAGGGCTATTCAAGTTTGGTTTTTCAATGGAGACGTTCTATTTTCATCTCATTGGGGCTTTTTGTACAACCAAATGTAGCCTCCATGGCATGCTCTCTGTAATTGATTCAAGAGACTAGATTTGGAAATTTTATTCCCCAGGACCCATAGCTGCAAAATTTAATTCTAAATTTGGATATGGAAGCCCTAGAATTTTATAAAAATTGTTTCCCTTCCATATGTTGTGAAGAAATTGTTGAGCAGGATGGTCGCTAAAACATCTCAATGATGGAGGGTTGTATAAGTAGAATTCTTATGTTCTCAGAATGTTGAATGTTTGAAGGCAGAAATCTGCTAGAAGGTATGCTTCAACCTAGTTAAGATTCATTTGTATTCTACATTCTGGGGAATTTATAATAGAACTTTATAGGATTTACCTTTTTAGAACAGAAAAAAACTCATCACCTTCATACCCTCCTTCCCCTCTCTTGCCTGCCAGAAAGTTTCTAGATGAGAGTTATCTCAGTTAAGTTTTTCTAGGAAACCCTACAGAAGTCTCTCACCCAATGCAGGTATACAGGGCATTTTAATTTTCATTATTTGAAGGGAAAGGGTTTTTCTCACCACCAAACATAGTGATTGACTTCAGAAACTTTTAAATTTTAGAAAGTAATGAAATAACCAGATTTTTGTCTTTCAAATACATTTTGATTTCACAGTTATGAATTAATTTGAACCAAGTGCTCAGTTTTATTCTTCTGCACCACTTTATTTTCTGTATAATTTTCCCTTGCTCTGTAATTCTATTTGTTTCATTAAAGAAGAGTGGGTATGATAATATATTCTCAATTGTCTTGAAAAAGTGTCTGAACCCATACCATGTATTTCTAGCGCTGATATCTTGTTAATGAAATACCTAGAAACAAAGAACCATAAAGATCACACTAATTTAGAATGTGGACTATAGTAAATTTGACAAATTTACAAAGAGGGCACCCATTTATGAACTTTTCTAGATGGAATCAGGGTCTACTTCTCTGACTTTGTGACCCTACAAAACATTTATTTGACAGTCACATCTCTGATCATTTTGCTTTGTAATTATTTTGTGCTGTCAAATTAGCAATTTTACAATCTGGATTAAGACAAAATTTGGTTATCAGTTTTCACTACATTCCGGGATCTATGAGCAAATAGTAAATATTCATCCACAGGGTATTCCTGTTATTTAATATTTTATACTGTTCTCTAGATATACAACATTCATGTTCTTAAAACTACAGCAACTCAAACCTTACTTAGTTTATGAGAAAATTTTCCACATTTGAAATTCTCTGGGAGCCAGGTGTGGTGACGCATGCCTGTAATCCCAGAACTTGGGAGGCTGAGGCAGGAGGATCATTGCAAGTTCCAGAACAGCCTGAGCTACAAAGTGAGCTCAAGGTCAGCCTGAACTGCATGGTAAGACCCTGCCTCAAAAAAAAAAAAAATAGAAAACGAAAGAAAAGAAATTCTCTTGGTTTACCAATATTTGTGGTTTAATTTTGTGGGAATCTCCAGATAATAGATCTTTTTGTGTAATTTTAATGAAATAAGAATAAAACTAATGATTTTCTGTGTTTTCCCTCTGAATTCATCAATAACTATTTGCCCTGTTTTTAATAGGCCTAGATAAACTGCAACATATATAATTAAAAGATAATCTTACAACACATACTTCCATGTACTTCTCATGGGCACACATGCACAATTATAACACAGCAAAAAAAAAAAACTTTGAAAATATGTAACAACTATAGGTAAAACAATTTTAAGATGTTAAAGCACCCTTTTTGATTATCTCCTAATTAACAGAAGGCTTCTATAGTGATTAACAGTAGTAAGACCATTCTTAAGTCATTTCAACTGTTTCCTTAGATCTGCTCATTATGTTGACATCGGATATTTTGGATATTTTCACGTTCTCTTATCAGAAAGACATTCTTGCTTTGAAATTTTCCAGTGGCTGTTGATAGAGGCAGTGGTTCCCCATTTCCATCCAAATTGCCTTCAGGTCATGCCTTATCAGTGAGGACTGAGGATAGCTACTAGCTTGTCACTGATGAGGCATATTCAGCATTAGACAAATACAAAGAGACTGGTATTTTGTGTCCTAGGTTTGGAATTTTGCCCTGAAATCTCTCACAAAATCTTAATTTTTCAAGTACCTCATAAGTCACTTGAATTTAGAAGACAAGAATTTAAGTGACACCAAAATGAACTTAGCAGTGATAGTTTGTCATGTTCCCAAAGTGCAGTTCACACATTTATATGGACAGAGATTTGATAACTAAATTGGACATTTTGGGTAGTTTAACTCGTGATTAATAGGTAACCTAATTTTGAGAACATGTGTGTGAAATCACTTGAGAGAAATCATTGCATGGTAAAAATGAAGCTCATGGTAAACTGAATTTTGTGTTTTAAAATTATTTTGTCTGAAATGGCAAAATTACAGTCCATACTATGAAGCTAGGTTGTTCTGAAGACATACACCCAAAAATTTCTATATGTCATAGAAGTTAAGATATCTTTTTCAGTTATAATTTGAATTTTAAAAACTCCTAGTACTTTGTCTAATTATTCACATGCCAAAACTTGAGAGCTGCTTCAACTGAATCACTATCATTGGTTTGGAAGTGAAATTGTGTCTCAAAATATATTGAAATAAGATCATCAAACATGTTAGACTTGCTTTTGTTATTACTGGATAGAGCCTATTACAGAGATTGGCATCTCCTTTTTAAGCCCTACAAGTTACTTAAATGCTTTATGCCTCAATTTTCTTACCCACTAAATTATAATGATATACTAACTAGTTCAGCCTACCTCAAGGGTTGTCAGAAAGATCAAATTAGATAATAGGTATGAAAATGCTTTGAAAACATTTTTAAAAAGTACCATACATAGAGATATTATATTATTCAAATCCATAAGCAGGTTACTATTTTTTTACTCTTTGACAATAAAAAGTATCATCATCCGCATGAGTGTCTGGAGTGAATATTTGGGCCTTTAACTTTCTCAGTAGTTGCCCTTAATCTTACCTCCAGCTGCACATAAAATTTGTCACCCAAATCTATGGTACTTGAAGGAGAAGACCCACTGAATTTTAGAAAGTGTTTGTGATGGAATATGAATTTATCATTGTATTTCATGAAGGATGTAACAGCAGTTTTTGATAATTGTGCTTTATAATTTAAACAGCTGATTCAAGGCATTAATTGAATGTGATCATAATCTCAGCCTTGTAAGTGGGAAAATAAGCATTAAGATTGTTAACTGCAGCATTTCCTTGGAAACCACCTTAGAATGTTAGTGCTATGGTTATAAATGTATGTGCCAATATTTTTCAGCCATTGCATTGTGGATGTGAGCTATTGTGGACTGCTTTTGTGAGTCATTCACTCAAAAATATTGTTTATGTCTCATATAATAAATTAATTTTTCAGTTTCTCCTTGCGTTTCATTCCTTATGCACTACATACCTGACTTCTTTATTTTAATCACTATTTAAAAATATAAAATATCAAATGGTTTTGTTGTAATTATACTTTTGTAAACTCACCTGGAAATTAACTCTATAAGTGAAAGTTTGAGAATGATAGAATTCAGCCTTGAAGGACAACAACAGTCCACTAAAACTCCTCTGATCGTTTTATAAATTCTTACTCCATCTGTTACAACTGCACCTCTGGATAATAAGATCTTACTTAGTTGTCTGTTAGTTACTGTGTGTGATAGAAAAAACAGATGTGATATATATCTCTTCTAAACAAACATAAGTGGTGTGCTGATCCAGAGATACAAAACATCAAATAGGTAACTTCACATCAACATAAACAAATAAATTAAAAGCTTGCGCGTGAATGGAAAAAAAAAACAGTCATTTAAAGGAATCATTTCAAAGCATAAAGTAGACATGGAGTGTTTCAATAATTTCTTTGCTTTTGAAGGCAGCCTTGCAATTTGCAAAGACTTAAATGTTAGTGTTTATTTTTTTAAAAAGCTTTATTGAGGCATATTATTCAAAACTGCACATTTCAAATGTATCTCATTAGATAGGTTTAGACCTATGCATACATCTATGGTACCATCACCACAATCAAAATAGTAGTCATATACTCCTCACACATCTAAATTTCATTTTACCCTATTTTTTTCTTTCTCCTTCTCTTCCTCCCTCCCTCCTGCTTTCCTTCCCTGCATTCTTTCTTCCTTCCTTCCTTCCTCAAAACCATAAATTTGAAGTGCGTATTGGAAAAATAAATAATTTGTTTTTCAAATCCACTTTAACATTCAAGTGTTTGATTTTGAATACCTGAGCTCACAGTTCATTATTCTCCACCACGCCTCTGTCACTGCTCTGTCTTGCTGTGTTTGGGCCCAAGTTTGTAAAGATTAGAAACGTGGTAATGAAAGTAGATTTTATTCTGCTATGATCATATTTCTTTGAGTATCCCATTCCAGGAGATTTTTTTTTTAATTTTTAAAATTGATATATAAAAACTACATTTGAAGTACCATGTGATGTTTTGTTATATGTTGAGCCATTGTTTAATGTTGAAATCTGGGTAAACACATCTATCTACTCAAACATTTATTATTTTATCATTGTGAGAACTTTCAAAATCCTTCTAGCTTTTTGAAATGCACAGCACACTTTTTATCTGTAGTCACCTTATTATGCAATAGAACACCAGAACATACTTCTAACTGAAATAGTTTTCATCTTCTATGAACATCTTTCCAACTGAGATAGCACTTAGAAATATCAATTATGTATATAATTAAGTGAGTAATATTTTGAGCTTTTTCTCGTTTTAAAGAAAAGGTACTTTGGGCTGGGGATACAGCTCAGGCGGCACAGTGCTGCCTGAGTAGCTCAGAGATCCGGTCCTAAGTTTGATTCCCGATACCAAAAAAACAAAACAAAACAAAACAAACAGACAAACAGCAACAAAAAAAAAAAACAAGTAAAGAGAAAAAGGTACTTTATAGTAACATGTTTGTAAGGTTGGAAATTCAGAAATCCCTTCTTTCCCATTCATCACACAACAAGCCCTGGCAGATGAGGGCTCTGCTGTGCTAAAATGGAGAGTTAGCTGCAGCCACAAGGTACTCAGGCACTTCTCACGCTCTTAGCATGGTTGTTTTTATTGGAAAATAGGCCAAGGAGGTCTCAAACATTGACAGTTTAAGAAACTTTTGGAAGATAAGAATATTTTTAAGGATTGTTCAGTGGCATGAAGCAGCGTCTCTTTTCAGTAGATTATCAGGAATCTTCAAACCCGGATTGTCGGCCAGATTTCTGCCCAGAAAATGAATCACTGTGGAGATTCAGTATTGAGTGAGAGTTGCAGAGTCTGCCTCCCCAAGGAGAATAGATTCACGCTAACAGATTTGGAATTCTGTTTCTGCTTTTGCTCCCTCACTGATTCCCATCCTGAATTAATTTTATCTCTCTGAATGATGAGTTCCTGATGATTAACATGATTTCTGAGCCCTGGAAATACCATCATACTTAGACATTGATATTATGCATACTGGTTTCAGTTTGTTTCTAATCTTAATTACTTAAATTCCAATAATGAGTCAGCATCTCAGGAGCAATAGCACTCAAGAAACAAACGGAAGTTTGAAATTCTGTTTGGACTGGTGATCCAAAACCATGCCCACCACCACTCAAGCAGACTGAAATCTTGCTATAAATCCTAACAAGGGGGCTTTTTTAAATGGAGTGACAGAACTGTGTAAAACAATGGTGTCCAGCTTTAAGGCTGCAGATTTCCAAGCATTAGAAAGCTATTGCCATCATTTGCAGTAACTAGAAATGAAGGGTACAGAGTCGCAGTTATTTTTCAAACCAGCCAGGGGAAATGCTATTAATGAGTGATAGGACCAAAAAACTGTCACAGGAGTCAAAGTAATTTTCTTTTTCTCCCAGCTCCCACCACAAACAAATATCAAAAATTACAATGTAATAACTAGTTTATAGGGAGTGACCTTAAAAGATATTTTTCTGTAATTAAAACTATTGGGAACAACTACCTTAGGGAAGGTTTTTGTTTTGTTTTTGCTAAAATAGTTTCTCCTGTGTATTTATAATGTATTCTTTTTAAAAATGACATGATTCACACAAGCCACTTGATTACTCTAATTTCTAGCTTAATTCAAGAAATGAAAAAATATCTGTTGGTTAAAAGTGTACTGTGGATGTGTTACTAGATGAGGTGTGGTTCAGTGATAGAGTGCTTACCTAGCATGTGCAAGGCACTGAGTTTGATTCTCCAGCACTGCCAAAAAGAGGGGGAAAAAAGTTATGCCATCAAGGCAAAATGCTTTTGCAGTTTCAAAACTTTCAGAACTATGTATTATCATAACAGCCATAAAAATGGCAACGTAATTCTACATAATCTTCAGTTCCCCACCTTGACCTGTCATTGGCCACCTGTTGCTTCACTTTCCTGCTTATTTCCTTATGATTTACAAAACAACTCCAGCTTCCACATACCCAAAATAGAGTCCAAAACTGGAAATTGGATTTTCTTCTGTGTATGTTTTTTCATTTCAGAAGGAAAATAGTTCCTAGAAGCCATCCCCCATTTCCAGGAGAATTTTATTGGTCAGGTTTGGGTCCCATCCCCAACCCTGAAGCTGTCTCTGGCAAGAAGGATAAAATTGTCATTACTTCCTTTGACTGTGTAACATTTACTTTCTAGATCTGGCAAAGGACCAACATTTGTGAGTATTTGGATGAAAGAACGGCTGCAACATTAGGATTCCACCAGCAGCACAATGAAAGAAATATCCATTTTCTGGGCTACCTATAGTGTCCCTCATTGATATGTGAGACAAATAAAGACCAAACTTGGCTGATAAACTGGGGAAGAATGTGAAAGTTCCTTGTCCCTTATTTCCAGAAAAGAAAGCATCCATGGTTTATGCTATGTCCGTTTGTATTATATGCCCTTGGCTAAGAAGCCCTCTCTAAGAAGCCATTTACTGAATAGATACAATTATACCCAATTATCCTGAGATAATATCTACTAGCAGAATTTTCTTAGTGTTTCAGGATTAAAATTGTGGAGCTTTGAGCATTGTGAAGAACCAAGGAAAATTCTCATCTCTGGAGTTTTAGGGATTTCAGAGGTTAAAAGATCAAAAGAGATACTTATTACTGAGTAAAACAACAGATATTTAAATAGCATCTTCCCTATATGCCAGGTACTCGACTAGGCACAAAGGGGAGACGGGTGAACAGTCTGCCTCTGTACCCCCAAAACGCAGTCTTTTTATAAACATAAGCAACATGATGATTTCAATATAGAGGGGTAAGGCTATAATAGGGACATATCCAGGAGAACCTTGAGACAGAAATAAAGAACCTATGTCTACTCTTGGAAATTCAGAGAATATTCACAGAGAAAGTGATCTGATATTTGAAATCAGAGGTGAATTTACTCTAAAGTTTATACGTTTAAGTTTCAGGGATAATCATGAATACTGGGAGTTAGCATATTCCAGGTAGGATGTAGAAGTCAGGATGCAATTGGAAATTATGTCTCGTCAATGTTTCTGTCCCATTGCCTGAAAAGATTACTGAGAGAAGGGACTTGAACCTCTAAGGCCTTTGTAATTTGTTGTGATTTCATTTTCATTCTGAGTTCATATTCTTTCATTGTATAGCTAATTTTGAGTTTATATTTGGTTGTTTTTCAAGCCTATAGCCAACAAAATTGCAAACTTTCAGGCCCCATAAAACTTGCATCCTCCCCTGCTGAGACCTGATGTATAAGCATGTAGCGACCTGGTGAAGGCTCTAGGAAAAATGCTGGTGGCAAAGGAAAAAGCCTGTACAATGACCTGGCATTAGTAATAATTACATTTGTATTCAGAAAATAGCCTATATGTGAGTGTTGTTGGAACATGGAAGACAGGTGAGATTACAGAGGTGATGAAGAGCCACATTGTGAGAACGAGCAAAAAACGATAGTGCTACTGATAGACACTGTTAAGTGTTGTACTCATGTGATCACTTTTATTCCTCACAATGCCACTATGCAGCAGTTACTGTAATTATATCCATTATATGGAAAATAAAGCTGAGACTGGTAAGATAAAGAAACTGTCTTGTCATTACATAGTAAGAGGCAGGATTGAGATTTAAGCCAATATTGTCTGGTGCCAAAGCCTCAATGTTTAATGACTAAGCTCTCCTGACCCTCAAACTGAGCACTTTGCAGATGCAACTAAACCTGAAAAATTCTGGAAACTGAGGAAAGAAACATATCTGGTAACATCTCCCTGCAGTGAAGTGGCAAAAGCTCATACACACGAGGTGATTTCTGCCTGGGCCAATCTTATAGTTTCCAGCACTGTAACCATCTTCATAAGCCACAAAGAGGCAACCTCCCTGAAACTTATTGGTCACAAAGGAAATAATTCTGGGGTTA